TTATCAAAGAAATATACACTCAAATAATCGAACAAGAAATAGCCAAAATAATAATTTTGAATATTCTACTGAAAACCGGAAAAATACCGAGATAACTCAATCAAGAGGAAAATATAACAGTAATAATGATAGTAGTGATGACAACGGTAATGAACATACCAGCTTGCCTAACATAATAAACATACTACCCGATGATCATAATAATAATAATGGTGATGATAATGTTAATGATGATGAACGTACCAGCTTACCGCTACCAGCAACAATAACAACATCAACATTAAATTTAAATAATAATTTTGAAGAATATGTGTCACCAGTGTTGCCAGAACCACTACCATCAACATTAACGACAACAACAGCATCAACAACAAATCTAATTGACTCCCATAATAATGTTGAAAAAAATATAGAGCCATCATTGTCGTTGTCTACAAATCCACAAGTAATTGATAACTTCCGTAAAAAAAACACATATAAATTATAATTGTGGACAAGTAGCAAAAAAACAACGAAAACATAAGTCATTGTCATTACATTTACAACCTCAACGGCAAACTCAAACAAGACAACAAATACGACAACAACCTCAACAGCAATCACAACAACAATCACCATCACGTTCATTATTACCACCTATCACCACCTTCAGAACTATTAAATTGTATAGGTTACCCTATACATTCTTATAAACATTTATTTTTTTTATCTCTATATACTATAGATATAAAAATCTTTAAATTTCGGAGTTTTCTAATGTTGATATTTTACATATTCTCATTATTATGAAAAATGCAATTTTTTCTTGCTATAAAACGTACAATGAAAATACATTTAACTGATGATATTTTCAATAAAAATAATACCGAAAAATAAATACAGGAGATATATATGGAAGATATATTGACTGTATATGAAAACCGTCATAAATTAGCAAAATTTAATATTACATATTTTTAAATATTTATTTACTAAATAAAGATATAATGTTATTTTTATAATAAAATAAACCAAAAACATACAATGATAAAATTTTTCGATTTGGTTTTTTATTATTAAATTTTTTTTTTTTTATAGTGTTCTGAAATAAATTTTTAATTCGAAAAAAATTTTTTACTTTCGAATATCTGAATATTTTTAATGCAAAAAATAAAACGTAACTTTTGCAGATACTTTAAAAAAATTCCCGGAATTCGGAAATCATTAATTGTTTCGAAACAATTAATGATTTCCGAATTCCGGGAATTTTTTAAAGTATGATCTGCAAAAGTTACGTTTTATTTTTTATTTTTTTGCATTTTTGGTTTATAAAAATTTATTTCAGAACACTATAAAAAAAAAATTAATAATAAAAAACCAAATCGAAAAATTTTATGCGAATAAAAATTTTTTGAATTTATAACACAGGTGATACCTCTTACATATCGATTATAATGCGAGCCAGGCATTTAGAAAATTCATACGTATTGCTCTATATAGAACCCAAAAACTGACCCTGCTTATTATAAAATAAAATTATATCTTTATTTAATAAATAAATATTTAAAAATATGTAATATTAAATTTTGCTAATTTATGACGGTTTTCATATACATCTTCCATATATATCTCCTGTATTTATTTTTCGGTATTATTTTTATTGAAAATATCATCAGTTAAATGTATTTTTATTGTACGTTTTACAGCAAGAAAAAATTGCATTTTTCATAATAATGAGAATATGTAAAATATTAACATCAGAAAACTCCGAAATTTAAAGATTTTTATATCTATAGTATATAGAAATAAAAAAATAAATGTTTATAAGCAATCCTATACAATTTAATGGTTCTGAAGGTGGCGATGGGGTGGTAAGAATGAACGTGATGGTGATTGTTGTTGTGATTGCTGTTGAGGTTGTTGTCGTATTTGTTGTCTCGTTTGAGTTTGCCGTTGAGGTTGTAAATGTAATAACAATGACTTATGTTTTCGTTGTTTTTTTCTACTTGTCCACAATTATAATTTATATGTGTTCTTTTACGAAAGTTATATTCTTTATCAATTACTTGTGGATTTGTAGACAACGACAATGATGGCTCTATATTTTTTTTCAACATTATTATGGGAGTCAATTAGATTTGTTGTTGATGAATAG